ATCAGTTTTTCTAAGAATGTTAATTTCATTTAAATTTTCTAATTTACTGGCATAAAGTCCTTATCTACTTTTAAAATGCATTTTAACTTTTTAATTAAGATATAGACAATAAGATACAGAAAAATCACACAAATATATAGTGAATGGTGATAAGGTTACCACACTTCTAACTACCAGTTAGAACGGAAGAGCCCTGGCAGCCATCCCGCAAGTCCCTCCACTCACCATTCCCATCAGGAACTTTATCCTGAGACCAATTTCAATGTTTATCCCGTTGTTGATAAAGAGCACACTTAGCATTATTCTTATCCTCCTAAACTTACGGAGGTTTGTTTGATTGTTTGGTGCACAATCTACCTGGGAGAACATTCTACGTGCACTTGAGAAGAACGTGCACTCTCTGGAGGAAGTCTTCTGCAGATGTCAGACCGGCTGGTTTAGAGAGCTGCTCATCTTGCCTCACTGCCCTTGTTTAGCCGTTCTATCCATTACCGGACGCGGAATATTGCCATCTGCGACCATTACTGTTGTGTTGTCTATTTCTCCCACAGCCCGGTGTCTGTTAGTGTGTTTGAAATGTTGAATCTCCCGGATGTCATTGATGCTGTTGTCCTTATAAAACGTGTCCCCCACAGCACTTTTTGGAGACTTCTCTCCTACAGCACCGCCACTCCAGCCTTCATGTGGGGGCTGCTTTGCAGCACATCCTTTTTCCACCCACTGCTTTCCATCTCTTTGTACCTTGGGGTCTGTAAAGCGTGTCTTTTGTAGACGGTATACAACTGGACCCTGTCTCTCTATCCAGCCTGGCACTCGCTGCGGCTCGGTGAGATTGCTTAACCCATTCTTACTTAATGTTATTACTTTGTTTGATCAATGCCTGCAACTTTATTTTGCTTTCAGTATCTTTCAAAGTAGATACTTAAATTTCTATAATGGATTTTCGCTATACTTTAGGTTTTCCCCACTTGCTCCAAGTTTCACCTTACACATTAAAATCAGCTCTAGATTTACACGAGGCTAATTCCGCACAGGAACATAACTCATGTAACTCTACTCCCATTTCATTTTTGTGATGTTGTTGTTATACCTCAACTTCTGTTAATGTTACAAACCCAACAACACACCGTTGTAATTATTATTGTACCAACTAGTTTTTTTAGGCTAACACAACTTTGCTCCTACTCACCTCCATATAAATTAGCAAATTCAATATACATATATTACATTTCTGCATGGGCCCAACAATATATATAGTTTTAATCAGTTGCTTTTTAAAACAATTAAGAGGGAAACATGCACTTACACTGTCATATGTAACAATCACCTTTACTGGTGTGGATTCCAATCACTACACGAGATCACTTGCTTTTTGTCTGATCCTTTGTGTTTCGTTCTGAGAAAGCCTTTATTTCACCTTCATTTTTCAAAGACAGCTTCTTTGCTGGATGTAGAAGTCTTGGTAGACACATTTTTCCTTTAAGCTTTTTAAGTATTTTATCCACAGCCTTCTGGCCTCCACTGTTACTAGTGGCAAGTCAACTTTTAATCCTATTTCCTAGAAACGAAGGAATTGTTTTTCTCTTGTTGCTTTCGATATTCTCTTCATCTTCGACTTTCAGAATCTTTTAATGTAATGCATCTAAGAACCTGTTTTTGATCACATTTGAGGTTCAGTGAAGTTCTAGAGATCAGGTTTAAAAAGTGTTTTCTTAAGAATTCACATTTGTGCCCTGGCTGGTGTAGCTCAGTGGATTGAGCACAGGCCTGTGAACCAAAGAATCACAGTTCGATTCCCAGTCAGGGCACATGCCTGGGTTGCAGCCAAGTCCCCTTGTTGGGGGCACATGAGAGGCAACCACCCACTGATGTTTCTCCTGCTCTTTCTTCCTCCCTTCCCTGCTCTCTAAAAAAAAAAAAATTTTTTATCTTAAAAAAAAAAAGAAAGAATTAACATTTGTTTCTTTAAGTGCCTGGACTCACTTCTAACCTGAAACCACATTTAAATAAGTCCTAATTTTTCTGGCCACACGGGTAGTAAGTCTGGGTCCAAACCTGTTTTAAGTGTCGGCACGTAGACAATCCTCTGGCAGGTTTTCCATCCTTCCGTCCCCTCCTCTCCGAGGTATGTATGGTACCCGCTCTCTCACCGCGTGCACCGTTACTTTGAGGCCCCAGGTTTCAGAGACTATCTCGCTCTGACTTCACACTCACTCTGGCCTCTAGCCTTCGCCTTCCCTTTAAAACTAGCCCCTTCCCGCCCTGACTGGTGTAGCTCAGAGCCGGGCATCATCCTGCAACGTGGAGTCACTCACGGGCTGGATTCCCGGGCAGGTGTCGTGCCTGGGTGGCGGGCCTGGTCCCCGTCCAGGGTGCGTGCAAGAGGCAACCCGTCGATGGTCACTCACACATCGATTTTCCCTTTCTCCCTCCAACAATAAAAAATCAACTCGTTTAAAAAATAAAGTGTAGCCCATTCCAGTATTTAGGACACAAGGATTGGTGGCAGTTGTTCTCTTTAACACAACATGACTTCATGCTTTCAATTCCACGGCCCCTCCCCAACTAAACCTTATTTTGAAGATCGTTAAGTCTCCAAAATTTTGAAACAGCAAAAATCCATCTACCTCTCACTACGATCTGTTGTTATTCTGCCTCATCTGCACTATCTCACATCTAGACTTTACACACACAGTTTGCCTGACCACTTGAAACAGGAGGACACTTCACCCCTAGATACTTCAGTATGCACCTCCAAAGAGAGAGGACATTCTCCTTTGCAAGTGCACATCCATGATCACACCTAAGAGAATTACACATTCCACCACCATGTAAGAATTCATATGCAAATTTCTAGAGGTCCCCAGAATGTCTTTAATGGCTGGGTTTAAGTCAAGATCGAATCTAAGCCACGCATTGCATGTTGTCTCACGTGGAATAGTCTCCCACATGTTTTACACAACAGTTCCTTTAAGACTCCACATCAGGTGTCTTTGTGAAATGTCCTACGTCCATTTCATGTGTGTAATTATTCCACATAATTTGATTCAGATCAAATATTCTGGGGGGAAATGCTACAGGTGACCGGGCGGAGCTGCGAGCATCCTTCTTTCTTGATGGCTCAGCAGTACATTAAAACGGTTTTTAGAAAATGATTCTAACCAAGCATCAGGAGAGGTCCTCACTGCCACCCACCATGCTGACGGAAGCAGAGGGCCCTATGCTGCCTTTCCAGGTCACCAGCAGCCACATCTTTACAAATGAAACAGTGACATGCTTGCCTCCACCTGAGCACAGGTAATACAGAAAAGGGAAGCTTGGGACGAAACCATGCATTACGCATTGTAGCCTACCAATCTGTGGAGTCTGGAGTCAAATTAGTGAAGGACAAGCTACATAGTTAAGAGCTGAGGATATATTTTAAAGTCTTGTCTACAGCTGTCTTTTCTTATCATCATAAAAAGGGAAAAACCACATTTCTAACCTGTTTTCATGGCAACAGTTGGAAGAGGAACTAGGAAAAAGGAACCTGTTGAGAACCACGGGCAGGACACGACTACCCTCATTTCACAAAAGAAGTGAAACTCAGAGCTCATACAGGTCATTGGTAAGCCTGTTCACCATTTCAAGTTGAAAGCTCCAAACTGGTCTACGCTATGGTCAAAACCCATGCTTTTTCCCCAACACAAAATGCATCTAGAAAGGTAGCAATTTTGAAGTTCCAGTCTGATGTTTTACTTGGTTATTCATGGCCGTAACTGACATAAAACCTAAAGAAAAACCACCCAAGTCCAACTTCTTGGGGGGAAAAACGTCTCCACACAATCCCTCGAACCCACTGTACTCTTGCTATTCAACACAGAACAGCCCATACCAAGGTCATGTATGGCTTCCACATTGCTAAGTTCAATGGCCACTTTATTTCCACTTCATCTCTTGCTGTGACACTTGGTAGATCACCGATTCCTCACACTCCTTCTCAAACCCTTTCTCTCTTGTCCTCCATTAGCGCTCTTTGGCTTTGCTCCATGACTAATCTGGGGTCTTTTTTTTCCTTCTTTTTGTCCTCTTTCCATGTCTCCTCTGCTACCCTACGTACCCTACTCTTCTCACACAGTAATATCCTGGGCAGTAGCAGACCCTCGCTGTCCCTAGTTCCTCACCGTCACACTGGCGGCTCGCCGTCACTGAGGCCTACCATGTGCTGGGCATGACTGCTGAAGGATGAAGGACATGATTCTCAAGGGCCTGCCAGGGTCTGACTGCTGCCCGGGGATTTCACGTGAGCATCGGAACCAACACCTGGGCTTTAATTCTCCGTAAGTGCCGTAAGCTCCACGTATCTCCAAACTGAACTCACTCCCCTCCACTCATAGTCTACTCCCTCCTCCCCTCTCTTTCATACGTGCTGAACTAAATGCGCCTTGGGCAACCTCACGGCCTCCATTACTGGTCTATTTTACTTTCTTAATCTGTCTAAAATTTGACTGCTGCCTTCCATTTCCACTGCCAGGTAGCTTGGCTTAGGGCTCCCCTGGATTGTGCACAGCCTGCAACCGCCTCTGTTTCCAATCCTCTCGATAGCCCACTCTTCCCAGATACAGTGGTCTTCCAAAAAGGCAACTCTGATTCTGTGAACTCTCCAAGCCCGATTCTGCTGCCAACTCTTGGCAGGGGGCTCCTTGCTGCCCTCAGGGTAAGCCCCAGACAGTTGAAGACGATTCTCGAGGAACACTGCTGGAAAAGGACGCGCCCTCCTCACCCCGCTCAGTGTTTTCTGCTCCTGCGTTACCGCTCGTCCAGCCAAACTGAGCTCTTTTCCGAGGCCGGCTCCGCTCTGTGCCCTCCCCCGCCACGGCACTCACCGTCCTCACCGCGGCTAAAGCCCTTGTTCGCTGACTGCCGTTACCTCCGGTACCTGCACAGTGGAAGTATTTCCAATGAACTCACATGATGAAGTCTCAAATCAGTGAGAAAGAAAAGAAGAAATTCATCTGAAAACTTTTTCAATTTTCTAATTTAATAGAAATAACCGAAACAATGTGGCTTTCAAACAAGGATTTAAACTAATCTAATACAACTTCTACAACACATTCCAGAGCATTATAACAAGAAATATTTACAGGCAGCTAGTGTATTAAATAACCATGAAAAGAAAATCTTGCTTTTATTACATACCAGCAAAAAACACAGGAACGGAACAATTAGAAACTGCAACTTTTCAAAAAAAATTAAATATGATTATTTAGAGAATACAATACCACAGAAACAGCACTTTTTCTTTAAGAATCATATTGAAGGGTAAGTTAACTATGTGCAAAAATAATAGGAGTTGTGGTGGTAGTAGTGGTAGTAACAAAAATAATGAGGGAAGGAAACCAGCTGAAATACCAGGAGCAAGGAAGTAGTAAGGCCATGAATTTAACCCTTTCGTGTGTATTTCTACATAGAAAATTAACAGGCTTTCAGATTGTACAAACCTTTTTTGATAGGCCTACAGACACCTTTCGCTGATTGAAAACATAGTGAATGCCTGCATTTTTCAGACCAGGAGACAGACCGGACACATTATTTCATTCTTAAGGCGGAGATTTAGGCCACACTCGAAAGGTAATATTGACTGCAGTGGCACTTGGAAATCACTTCTGTGCCTTCCCACATACAAATTTGGTGAATTTAAAAGAATGGCATTTTTAGTTTTAAAGATCACTTGCTACAAGCGGGCTAAACTTAATTTTGTACATTTGGTAGTTTATGACAAATATATCCAAATGGACTTAATTTCGTTTCTCTGATACAATAAAAAATATATATAAAAGACCACAAAGGCAAACACAAGGAACCAAGACGGAAGGAACACTATACATGCATTCTGACCCAGTAACAGAAACCATTATATCCCAGAGTACGTGTTGAAATCTGAACCGTCTACGTAAACTGAGGCATATAAATTTTTTTCTTAAAAAAGTACCTTCAATTTTTTTACTCAAACACCTACATTTAAAAAAATATGCAACTTTCCCCAATTTTTAAAATAAAATGCCACAATATATTGTCATTAGCTCCAGCACACATTTCATTTTCTTTATTTTTAAAAGATAGACTGGGTGATATGCATACAAACTTTCCTATAAAACCACCATCCGGGCGAGGACGTGGCAGGCTTAGGCAGCGGACCGAAAGCAGTGTTATTGCTTTATCAAGGAGAAGAGCACATGGGAGACAAGAAAGAAAACATCTAGGTCGGCACAGGATCGAACTGGGATGCACCTCGGAAGTCTTGGATCGCCTTCAGCAGACTATCAACAGGATGGCGCAAGTTAAGAAATCATAGTATGAGTTCAGGACTTAATTGTTTTAATGAAGAGAGTGGGGTGGATAGGTTTTTCTGAAGCTACTCACTGATCCAATTCTGATTATGCAAATAAGCAATGCTAACAAGAAGAGAGATTTTGTTACTTCGTGTGTTATGTATGAGTGGGAGGAGGTAGGGAACTTAAAAGGTCAAGGGCAAGGGAGCCGCAGCATCTGCTCCCATTTCGAAACACAAAGAGACTGCTGAGTAACATCTGGTGGGCCCCCAGTCCAAGGGCAGAGTTAGGAGACCTAAACCTATGAACTTGTGAACACTAGTTACTAATTACATGGCAGGATACCTGCTGAGGTAATTAATAAATCTACAGTTTGCACACTGTAAACCTTTTGCTTCTATTTAAAAACATCATTTCCTTTGGATTAACAAAAATCTTTTAACTTTACTTAAAATTCCTTAAGAAATAGATGCCAGAAAGTACCTGGTTGATTCCAAAAAGGGTAAAACCTCAATAGTGGGTTCAGCGCCTGGTCACTTCTCTGGGGTCACGACTGGGTGTTTCTCTACGGAGCATGACCTACAATCTGACTGTTTGGGACATGCACGTGCTTGACCTTGCAACGCAATTTCTGCAGCAAATCAGCTCAGCTAAGCACTAAAACACACACATTTAGTCCAGCAAAAGAGACTACGGAATACTTTGTTCTTGGTGTTCTGATAGAAGATAGAAACTGAAATGTGGCAAAAACCTTGCAAGCTTTTAAGAAAACACTGACATCCCCTAATCGAAAATATGACCTTTGAATGAAGAATGCAAGTGCCAGAGATCGAAAGAAACTGCCTTAGGAACTGCTGTTCAATGTCTGTCTTTTTAAAACGTCACAGGGAAACATGTAAGATATCTCAAATATCAACTTGTTTTTATACTTTTGAACAATTAACTTAGCGCTGAACAGATCAACTTAGAAACAGCTTAGGTCAGTTAATCAGTGTGCAAGACAAAAGCTTTAAATGAAATCTGAAGTGAACACCTTCAGTTAATGGTAATTCCTCAGCGGCATGAGGGCTTCTGTTAACAGAAACGGGGCCCACGAAAGGGTGACAACGAAGTGGCTTTTTGAGAACCAATCTTGAAATAAAACAAAGAGGGAAAATCCCATCTAACATGGAAGTGTCTTTAAGAGAACATACTATCTTTTAAGGCCCCAAACATTGAGAAATAAGTATTTACTTAAAATTGTTTCTCCCTCCATTGGTAGAAACCATATATATGAATTATCTAGTAACTGTGAGAGAGAAGAGCAAGTATTAAATATGTGACACAATAAAGACATACTACTACTTGTCACTTTCCAAACGTGTGCCCTTAGGTGCGTCTCCTGACAAATTAAAATCACGAATGTTGTAGGAAAGAGGGAAATGAGCATAGAGAAAAGTACTTTAAGACAATTTTCTCCTTCTATAAGAAAACTTTTCATAGGAATTTGAAATGTGAGTAAAATAACAGAACAGTTAGGGATGTTTTCAGGTGCAACTCACAAGGAGACTCAAAGAGAAGTTGGAGAATGAGGTCGGTCAGCAGCAGGTGCAAAGCCAGCACTGTTCACACACCATCGAAGGCTTGAACCGCGTTCATGTCCACCCCATCACTTGTTAACAAAAGAAAAAACCCAAAGGAGTTTGCATAATAATTTCTTTTGAGCACTTTATTTGATTCAATATGCACTAAAAAATATTTACCTCTTAAACAATCATGTCAGATAATCGTTACTGAGTAATCTGAACTGCTTAAGCTGGATTTTTTTAAAAGGCAAACAATTTGCCACAAATCTGCTGATGTCTGAAAATACCTAATGGAGAGTCTTCTATTTTGGTCACTTTATATTCTAACGGGTCCATACAAAAGTAGGACTACAATTTTAAATCCAACAGAAGAGAAGCCTGTATGTACACAGTCTAAAGCACACATCTTGGACATGAGTATCACAAATGAAGAGAAGAAAAATGACAGAGCCAAGGTGGTCTGTCTGCCTTGGGTGCCAAAATCCAGGTGTGAAGGTGGGAGCACTCCACTGCCCATCCAAGTGGGAACTGACGCGTTCTCAGGATTTCCTCACAGCTCTCTTCTCTGTCCTTCAGGCCCTCAGTCCACGCAAATGTCCCACTTGGTGGGCAGATGAGTAATCTAACCCTACCAGGTTTCTTTCAATATTTTGATGTTTTAATAATAAGCTGCTTCTGAAGATTTTCTGAGAAGTCTGTTCTCTATTAAAATAACATAGAACCTCAAAATATGAATGTGAACATTAGAAATAGACAGCATATATTACAAATCCATTCTTGATAGGAACATTAGTAAGAATACACATTAGCTTAAAAAACAGGCTCAGCAAATGTTGCTGATCTGCCAGAAGTTTTCGTTCACTATTTACAAATAAGACAAAGTGAAGTACAGAAAATTTTACACATTTGGTAGCTGACAGATTACTGTTTGCCATTAGTGGTCTATCAGGAAACTGATACGAAGGAAGACTGGATAAGATCCAGTCGTCACCTTCTCGATCAAATTTAAATACACAGAAAACTAGGTTAATTTTGAAACAAACATTCTGCCTTTCACGGGAATATAACTCTGTGACATGGTGATTTGGTTGAGAGGTGCAGTTCTGTGGAAGTAGTTTCTGGAAAAGGTTACTATAATCATGTGATTTGCTACGGTAGAGTTACCACGTTTATTTCAGTAGACCATTGAAACTGATTAAATGATGATCAGTGGTCACGTTTCCTAGACTCCAAGTATGAACAGAAAATACAACTGCTGACTCTTTAAACCAATATAAAAACTAAGGCCCAAGAGCATCGAAATGAGAAATAATATAAAGGTATGATTCAATGCACAGCTGCACTGACATCAAAAATGGAATCTGAACAACTTTGACTTCACCTAGAAAACAAGCCGGGGCGTATGCGGGGGAGGCGCACACGCCGTTTTAATAACCGTGCACTATGGTCCAAAGAAACAACCAATCGCGTGACGGGACCCTCAGGTGTTCACACCCAGAGCCCTGCACCTGGCGGCACCAGTCACCAACGCCTGCCAGTTTTAACGACCAGAACTCCTTTCTAGGGACACAGAATTTTGTATCGTTTCGCTTCTCGTTTTTACTTTTAATGGTGCAGATAGAGTTCTCTCCCCTTTCCTTGACAAGAATGTGTTTCTGTCCTTTACTTCCATCTAATACTATGGAAAAGCTATCGGCTTCTTCAAGGAGGTGCCCACTGGAGGCAGGATATTCGAGTAACACTTCAGTAAAAAGCATTATTTCTCTTCTTTCTCTCTGTTTAAACAGTTGATTTAAGTTCACGTCATTTTACTTTATATGTATCGGTCTGTCATCCGACTTTAGGCGTTTTCTGCGGGGTTGTATAAAGTCTTCATCAGAGTCCTCGGTCACCTCACCATCATCCTCCTCCTGCTCAAACTCTGGCAGAGGTGCGAAGGTCCTGTCTGAGTAGATCTCTGCGAGTTTATCTTCAAAGTACAACGCAACTGCTTTCCCTGCCTGAGCTACTTCTGAATCAGCCTGCAAGCAGAAGACAGGAATATTCACCTATTGGTAATGCATAATCCTTCACCAAGTTTGCATGGTCTGAAAAGCTTACCTTTAAATTAATCTCTTGTGTTTCTGCATAAACTTGAACAACTCTCATCATCTAAAAAGGATACCAGAGTCAAAAAAAAAAAAGGGAAATTATAATCCTTTCTAAAGTTATAAAACTGCATAGGATTGGTGACAAAAGTCAGCCATACTAGGGGAAACAGATTATAAACGCTATTGACCAGATTATAAGTGCTTTCTCAAATTCTACAGAACATGGAACCACTTTCTTTACAAAGTTCTATTACTAAAGCTACTGTAAAAGCTCAATAAATTGATTCTGCATTACTAAGGTCAATCTGAATAAAAACTGGTCTGAATACATTAATCTATTTAAGAGAAATACATTTGTGAAATGCATATTGGAAGAAATGTTGCTTTGAAAAATCTGCCCAACTTTCAATACACCACTTAATCAGAACTCCAACTGTACACAATTTATTAATAATAAATTATTTATTATTAAAGCAGATAAAATGGACCTTCTTCCTACAAGTGTTAGCTATATATAGTTCATGAGAGCATATTTACTTAAAATACTCTAGGTGGATTAGAAAACAAGACAAAAAACTTGGGACCGTATCAACCTAACTCTGAGTGAAGTTTTACTCTGTTCTCTGTGGCACATTGCTTTTAAGGTGACTAGACTTTTAACCTAATTAAGAACCTTTAAAAAATTCTTACACAGTCACCTACATGCTTCCAGAGGTAGCTATCAGTACATTTTAATAATTCAATATGCTTTATTTCAGTAATAGTCATATGGCACCCAAATTTCATTAACAATAAATGAGATTTTAGTATTAATCTTGAAAAGATTTTCTGAATTCTCATCCAATTTCATTTTCTTCTATAATAATGAAAATTTTCCTTCACAATAGGAGACAACTTTTTCCAAAGATAAGTTATTTCCCTTAAGGAAGTAGATATCACATTTCTTTTCAAGGTATGGATAACAAAGCCTTATCATCAAAACAAACGAAAAGCAAACAAACAACAACAAAAAAACACGACCAAAATTAATGAAAGCCACACACTGCTGAGATCCAAAAACTCAACATCATACACTCTGGGCTACTATTTAAAATGAGCCACCAGAGATCAGCTTATGACTTTCAGGTTCTACATCAACGTGGTCAATAATAAAATCGAAGGACATCGTCACGAATGTCTTTCCTTAAAGGTACCCAAAATGCAGACTGTCCATAATCACTGCATATGAAATACACTTAACTATAGACTACTTCCTATACTTATCTCAACCCTCAACTTGTTTCCAAAGGGATATTCAATAATATTCCTCATTTATTATATTTAAGTATGCACTTCAAATTACACATAGTAAACATTCTTCTTTGGAACTGTGGATGAAAATTTTACTTTTGACAGTGTTGAAGCAGAAAAAAATTTTAGCTCAAATTAGAAAAATCACTTAGCAGGAAAAGCAAAACCCAAACAAAACAAGCGAACAAACAAAAACTAATCGGAAACTCTATAGTTTGGAAGCTAACATACTTCATTAAACCTTTCACAGTTCTTGAAGATCAAACGGACGTCAGCCACGAAGTCATCTGGGACCTGGTAGTGTTGGGAATGTTTTTTCTGAAGCTTCTTTTTCACAGTGGATAAATCCATTGGTTTCTTTATAATTTTATAGTAGTTTGGTATCTTAAAAAAAACACACAAATAGTGACGGCTAGATAAGGACTCTTCAAAAATGCCAAATTGTTTAATTTGAAAATGTTCATCATATGAATTTTACGCAAAAAAATGTGTTAATCACTGAACCGGCTACTTGCAGACTTGGGGTACAGTGAATGTACTTTAAATCATTGGCCCCAATCATATCATGAATCATGTTCAGAATGGGTGGCAATCCCCATGATAATGAAGGTCCCCAATTTCTACCTTTAATGAGTAAATTTGGAAAGAAAGCAAATGGCGAGGCTAGCCAGTCACTAATGTTAAGGACACATTTGGCTCATCAGAATGTTATGATTCCTCAAGAGGTTATTTTCAAATAGCAAAGAAAAAAAATGGTTACAAAAGGTATTAATAACTGAACATGGAGAAGCTACTTAAATAGTTCATGAAAAGTAATTATTTGAAAGTAATTTTCTACTATAAAGCCCCTGAACTTAAGACAGACTTCTCAACATCAGGTGATCACTCTCTGCAGAAAACATCTTCCTCATGTGCAGACTTCTGTGCTTCACAGCTCATTTCTGAGCCGCTGCAGCGTACAAGCCAGTCCGTGCGCCGTCACAGGCCTGGCATTCCCCAGTATCTTCATTCGACAACTGATGGCTAACAAATAAATGTGTGCAGCATGTTCTCGTCCCATTAGTGATGCACTGAGCACCTCCTATGTTCCTTCTGCTATGGGACTTTAGAGCCTTTATTCCTTACAAAAGCCCCCTTTAAGTTAAATGAATAGCACTGACTTGCACAATTTTCCCAGTCTTTTCTTAATCTTGACTTTTCCAAAGAGGGTTTACGGAAGCAGAGCCAGTGTGAAATTCATTTTTACATGTTTATTCAAATAATACTTACAGATTGTTTTCTCCCCAACATACAAAGCCTATATTATACAACTAGAATCTTAATAATTTAGTCCAATACTCTTACTGCAAAGTTTAAAAAGTAAAGGTGAAAAATTATGTAATTTCCCCAAAGTTATTATAAGGATGGTTAGTGGCAGAACCAAGAGAAGAAGTTGTTTTCTGACTCCTAGGTTCAAGTTTATTTCGTTATACCTGTATCCCCTATGCCCATCATAAAAGTAAAAGAGGACAAGGAGCCCTGGCTGGTGTAGCTCAGTGAATTGAGCACGGGCTGTGAACCAAAGGGTTGCCGGTTCAATTCCCAGTCAAGGCACATGCCTGGGTTGAAGGCCAGGTCCCCAGTGGGGGCCATGTGAGAGGCAACCATACATTGATGTTTCTCTTTCTCCTTCCCTTCCCCTCTCTCTAAAAATAAATAAAATATTTTTAAAAAAGTAAAAGAAGACATGGAAATTCAATTCATCAAATTTTCATCACAGCAACAAAATTTTTAAAAACAAACCTCAATTTTAACAAGTGAATCTCACATCCATTTGGCCTTACTGAAATTTCTAAGAAATACTTAAAATGCTACTAGGTACTATGCTAAAACATTTTATACAGGTTATCATATACAATCCTCGAAAGAACCCAGTGAGGGAAGAAACAGTATTAGGAAAGAAAATTTGAGCCTTGGAAAGGTCAAGGAGATTATTCAAGAAGCCTGAGTCTCCTTTACCAGCGAGGCACTAAGGCAAACAACTTACCGAAGCAGGAACTGGCTCCTGGAATTCAATACTTAATTCATGACAATAGAGGTAAAGCAGGAGACGTTCACATTTCTGGCCCCAAAAAAGAAAAGAAAACCCTTAGTAAGTTATTACAAATTGATCACAGCTTCCTGCATCCCAGCTCTTCAGCTGAACACACCTCCAAGTAGAACTGCCTGGTTTCCCACATAGTTTTGGAACAATCTTCTGCTCTACTGTAAATGAACAGATCAAAGACAGAGGTCAATGTTCTGATCTATTGTTAACTCAACACTTTATATACATGGAAAGGAGTGAGCAAAGTAACAAACAGCACTCTATACAATGATTTATAGATTACCTGGTAATCTACAAACTATCGCTGTTGCTATTCATTGTATTTCCCTTAGGCCGGCCAGCCACGCACGTGTTATTATCCCCCTTCTTCAAATGATTCCACTCAGGGTCAAAAGTAATAAAAACTATCTGTGTACGTCTTCTCAATCTGATTCTAGAGTTTTTTTACACAAACAAATAAATTGAAATGCACTTTACATTTACAGTTTTCATTTACTTAAACTTCTTTTAATATTAAGTTTGTACACTCTACACACACATTCTCTTTACAGACGGCGACGAAGGATTTTGTAAGTGTGTACATCGGATGAGAGCTGAATATCATGAACCAAAGAACCATGTGAACACCACTCTGTCTTTGGAGATCAGACCATGGACCACATGAGCAGAGATTCAACTGAAGGTGAGTTAAAGATTTCACATCCCATTTTTAATATGATGAGACGTTATTAGAGGATTTTAGGCGAGACAGCGACAGCCTTATTTGCATTTTCAAAAATAACGCTATAACCAGGACAGAAAATGACTGCAAAGGGCCAAGAGCAGAATCAGGGAGCCCAGTGACGGGGTTATTACAACAGTGCAGATGACAGACCATGACAGTGGTCTCAGGAGGTCATGGTTAGGGAAAGTAAGAAACGGTCATTCCTGATTCTTTTATTTCTCAGAGATTTCTGATCTAAGCAACAGAGGTAAACAGTGGTGTCATTCAATGATATAAAACACTGGGGGGAGGAAGTTCTTTACATTGTTATCTGCTTGTTTATTGCTTTTGCTGTTTGAAGATGATTTTTTAAAAATCAACATTTTGGCCCTGGCTGGTGTAGCTCAGTGGATTGAGCATGGGCCCGAGAAGCAAAGGATTGCGGTTCAATTCCCAGTCAGGGGCACACGCCTGGGTTGCAGGCCAGTTCCCAGCAAGGGACACACAAGCAACCATACATTGATATTTCTCTTCCTCTCTCCTTCCCTTCCCCTCTAAAGATAAATAAATTAAAAAAAAAAATAAGTGGTGCTGGAAAAATTGGACAGATACATGCAAAAAACTGAAACTAGACCACCTTCTTGAAAAAAAAAATCAACATTTTGGTCGGGGCTCTGATTGGTGGGGCTCCGTTGGCTGGGTGTCGTCCCAGAAAGCCAAAGTTCACAGGTTCGATTCCTGGCAAGCAGTTGATGTTCCTCTCTCACACTGATTATCTCTCCCTCTCCTCCTCCCTCCCTCACTCTCTGTCTAAAAAAAGATTGTGCTTGGGACATGTTAAATTTGAGAAAGCTGGACACAAGAGTCTAGAGCTGAGGGCTGAAGATTTCAGAAGTCATCAATATAACATTAGACACAGAGATTAACAAATGAAAATGTATCAAGTTACATGTATATTACACTTAAAAAAAAAATTCTGCATGTTTCCAAGGGCTGTGGCTGGTTGTAGCCATGGGTCTCCTACTGTAAGCAAGAGCAACCTGGAGAGATTCTGACAGCTCAGGCCAGCATAACACCTGCAGCAGCCACTCACCTTTCCTATAACAGCTCAGGGGGAAAATAAGTAAATTAATAAAATTTAAAGCATGTTTAGCGAGGCCACTGCAGCATCCCTGATAATACGTCAATTTATTTTACACTTACCCTTTGGTCCACAGGGCTTAATCCCTGTGCAGTTTTCCCCTTCTTATTATGTTGCAAATTGTCACAATCATATTCAACCTCTGGTTTCCCAATATCTCTGCAAAATGTGCATATCCAGTCCCCGCTGAGGAAAGAAACAGGCAATCAGTCTGTATTTTTGTAACTCACTCTAAAGAAGCCAATTTCCTAGAGGTTAAGACTAATTTGTTTTCTTTCTTTTCTACTTATTTTTTGGGGGGGAAGGGAGGTTCTAATCTTGTCAAATCTCATAAAGAGAGGCTGTATGATAAAAACGTTCCCAGTCATTCTTCAACCTACCAGAAAGCAGTGTGAAACTGGTACCTTGGAATTCAGAAGGGGTTTTTTCCTTGAATGGAGCTGATGGTCTGTACTTGTAGCATAAGACCAACTCTCAGGCCCCAGGAATTATACTGGCCCCATATTCACAGACAAGACAAGAGTATGGGATATGGAATTCCTCAGGTGTCCTGTACTATCTCGGCATGTACTGAGCAATACATAATACATGCCAAATAACAGTTTTCCTCACGGCCAGTCAAAAGCCTAGGAGACACACACACGACCTCCTGCAAGTTCAAGCACACACATACATACCCCCAATTGTTTAAATCTGCCCAGTCTATGGTTTGTTTACATCAAGATTTCGATCAAAGCATAAACTCCAGTGAGTCACTCATACTCAAATCTCTCCTCGCTCCGACCACAGATAAACATATTCTAAGTGTAGAGACTATAATGTGGGCCAACAGTTTCATTCCCTTCCGAAGCAGCTGCCTTCGAGAGAAAGCACTCAGTGGCAGAATTTTGATGTTCCAGCAGATGGTACTATTCAAAGGACAAAAATATGAAAAGCCTTAATTTCTAACCAAAATGCCAATGCTTTTCTTTTCTAAAAAAAAAAAAGAAGAAGGCTGTCATTGTATCTCTGGCAAATGATTATACCTCCTAAGATTTAGGTAAGAATTATAATTCTTCAGAAAAATATTCTGACACTATTTCTATATCCACCACTTTTCTAAGGTAAAAGGCTGAATTTTTCAAAAAGGGCAGTATTACTCAACTAAAATTATTGCTTCTCAGAAATCTAAGAGGAGCCCTGGCCAGCGTGGCTTGGTTGGTTGGAGCATCAGCTCATAAACTGAAAGGTTACGGGTTCGATTCCCAGTCAGGGGACATGCCAGGCTGTGGATTCCATTCTGGGTCTGGGTGCATAGTCAAGGCAACCAATCGATGTTTCACTCACACTGAGGTTTCTCTCCCTCTCTTTGCCCCCCCACCTTAAATCAGCAAGCATGTCCTCCAGTGAGAAAGAAGAGAAGGGGAGGGGAAAAAAGAAAGGAAATCTAATCATCTACAGCCAGAAAAGCAGCTAGGTTTTCCCAAGAAGACTGGTTTACCTTCACTTGCAAAGAAACCCAGGGGAAGGACTAAGGAGGGAAAGGATGGAATAAAGATGTATGACTCTACTATGTCATGATCTCCGAAATCAGCTGAAGATAAAACTGTGTGAACACAAAACGTTCAATGGAAGGCAGAAAAGGAGCTCTTCTAAAGCGAACTACCACGTGTAGGTGCAGACAGTAATCCCCGAGAGTTTGTGAACTGCCCAAAGTAACGAGGCTAGTTCACGGCAGCAGAGTCGCCGCTAGACTACAGGATGTGAAGTCCAGTCCAACGCATCAGGTCCACGGTGTTAGCTAGTGTCGCGGCTTGCCATGGGGTCACCCAGTCTGAGGACAATGCTCTTTCTTTACTTATTTTATTCCCCAAATTGTTCACTTTTAACTAAGTCAGTAACTGTCCATTCCAAAGTTAATGACTAGAAGACAACATTCAAACCAGATCAAAGGACAAGTCTGAGAAATCTGCACAGTGCTTCGGGCAGGCACTGCTACCAAATTAACTGCTTCCGGTGGTCAAGAGGAAGCTATTTCTGCCCTGGCTGGTGTAGCTCAGTGGATTGAGCACTGGCCTGTGAACCACATGATCGAGGTTTGATTCCCAGTCAGCGCATATGCCTGGGTTGCAGGCCAGTTCCCAGCAGGGGACTCATGACAGGCAACCATACATTGATATTTCTCTCCTTCCCTTCTTCTCTAAATAAATAAAATCTTTAAAAAAAGAACAAGAGGAAGCTATTTCTTAAAAAATTCAAGACACGGAAAGTGATTTTTTACAAAGGTGTTTTTTCTTTAAAATGCCTTCTGAGAGCTTTCAAACATTACAAAAGTAACTTTGGGTAAGATCCAAAAGAGTTTCCACTAAACTAAATAGTGTTCATAAATAAAATCATTAACTGTAGACCCCATTAAAATTAATAGATTTTTAAAAATTCAGCTTCAAGAGGAAATCTACTTTCTCCAACACCCAAGGACCCTTGCCCCTCATAATTTAGAGTTTTATCTAATTTGTTTACATTAAGTATAAACTGAAGGCCAGGAAATGATCTATTTTTTATTATTAATGTTCCACTTATATTTTGGACATTTTATCATTCAACTATTAGCTTCTCTTGAAGGTAACACCAAAAGAAAAATAAATAGGCCCATGTTACACAGAAATACTATGTATGCATTGGTTTAGAAAGCCATCTGCTCTGAATAACTTTCTAGAGTTTTTTTTAGCTCATGAAGGTAAACAACAAAAAATCAATTCTTTCGCTAATACCTTGGAAAGCTAAGAAGTGTTGGAACATGACAAGTTAGATGGAAAACCTTGGGGCATTTCTCACAACACAAGAGGTCCCCTCCATTTTGGCAGACGGCACACCAGTCCTCGTTTGGGTCATCGTCTTTGCTGCTACCATCTCCTCCCATCCTGGCCGCCCTGTGCATGAGGCTTCGAATTGAGGACTTTCCGTTAACCAGGCTGCTGAGCCCCGACTGTTTGCAGCTTTCGTTCGTATCTGTGGGCTCAGTTTTCACGTGGTTTTCCAGGCTCGGTAATGCATCCAGCTCGCTCTCCAGGTGCAGGCTGGTCGAGAGAGGCGGGGTCAGACTGCTCTCCGGACTGCTCAGCTACAACAGAACAAGGACGAATTCTTGAACAGTCATCTCATCACTGCTGTTTGCAGTATGAGTGTGTGTTTAAAATTGATGTCAACATATAAACAGACTAGCTTAAAATTATTCTGGAAATTACACTAGTTACATAAAGGAACAAAATTACCCCCCAAATCATTTAGGCATGTTAATACCAAATCAATCAGATAGTAAGGAAATCAATTTAACAGTCAAGCACACTGATGTGGGAGTGAGCACAGGCTTACACTTTTCCCACCCAGAGTCGACTTAGTATGTTATTTTTCAAACAAGAATCTGTTGCATAGTTTTTGAGAAGCATTCTGAAATCGTCTTCTGCTCACTCATCATTACACAACTGTAGGAAGACTGTAACAATGTACTACCCACACTGAATTCTGGGTGAAGAGGTGACACACTGCTCCTGAACACCAAGACTCAGCGTGCTGCTTGCTACCTCTACACGCACTGCATTCAACACAGAGGGGCTCGAGCTGAAATTTCTGTGCCAACCACACAGAACATGAGGCTTTAAGTCTAGGTAGGAAGAAAAACCAAGATCGAAATACCGAAACGAAGAGGGACTTGGGCCTTCTTTCATCCTATATAAAAATTCTACAGTGTTCCACCTGGAAACTCTAAAATAGTAATTCATAAGCTAAAGGTAATCTTCCCATCACAGAACTCTCTGTTTAAACTTCTCTCATGTCACCAGCCTTAATTCTGAAGTTACAGACCCAGAAAATAGCCAAGGACCATTTATGGCCTAAGACTCAATGGGGCTATTAAGATGATTAATAAATTCAGAGTAAGACAGAACTTGATTTAGAATCATGGCAAAAATACTGACCAATCACAAACTAAAAGATCATCTGAAATGAATCCTTAATGTGAATAAGTCTGTTCTGATTAGAAAGAGATATTTAGCTAATACCAGGCGCAAACATTCACACACAAGTGCACGTTCACAGACGCACGCAGAGGGGAGGGCCCTGGCGGGCCCAGCGGGACTTTACCATGCAGGCGCTCCTCCTGCCGTCCTCTGTCTTCTCCTGCTTCACGGCGCCCGAGAAGCTACATATTTCATCTTCAGTCCCAGGTTCTTGCTTGACCTTCACTTGATCAGACTTGAAACTAAGACTTGTCTTCTCAGCAGTTCTTCCTGATGACCCACAGCTAATAAAAGACAACAATGGCCATATATGTTTGGCTGTGTGGTGTATATAAAAGTAATCATCATTAACGTGAAGACAGATAATTTATTAACTTTAAAATGATAAGGACACTTTATAATGGTGTTAAGAGGACTGTGGTATAAACTTAGCTTCCACTTCTCAAAAATGTAGATCACACTTTCAGACCTTACAAACACCACATTACAGTCTGAAGTACTTACACTAAATCATGTAAAAAGTCTGAAACAGTCTCCCAAGGCTAACAGCACAGAATGCTGGTGTTGGTCATTGCTCCTCTCTATGAAAGTAATTTCAATTCTTCCCTACCCACAAATATGTAAAGAAAATGTCATCAACAGTAGTTGATGAAGCCTCCTCAAAAAAACTGCTACTTTAATTTTTGAGGGCAGGCAACTGGGAAAAGAGGATAACAAACAGTGAAGAACCCAGAAAGTCCGTATTTGAAATCAATGAAATGATACATGACTAACCAGTTCCATCTAGATCACGAAGCAGAACCACTGGCAAGAGAAAGTGAATAACTGATTGGAAAGACCACATTACTTCTAAGAATGAACCTTTTTCCAGTTTATACTTTTCTTCCAAAAATACTGATCAATGCCCTGCCTGGTGTGGCTCTGTAAAAGCCAGCCTGCAAACCAGAGTTGCCAGTTCAATTCCCAGGCAGGGCACATAGCTGGGTTGTGGGCCAGGTCCCCAGTTGGGGGCACACAAGAGGCAACTACACATTAATATTTCTCTCCCTCTCTTTCTCCCTCCCTTCCCCTCTGTCTAAAAATAAATAAATCATTTTAAATAAAATAAAAATACTGATCATTAACTTAAAGTGTAATGAACAAGAAGTCAAGCAAGTGTTTAAAAGAACTAGTCTTCAAAAATGCATGTGCACACATAATATAGAAACTCAGAGTGCACGCCTTTCCTGCGTTACACTAAATTATTTACAGCCGAGAGTAAAACTCAGTTAACACGACTGCATTCTGTCTTACACACACCCTTAGTGCTTGCTGTCCACCAAAACGGCAGAAAAAACAGCGAGCAGTTCAGGAGTGAGGGGCACCCGAGTACCCAGAACGGCGTCTCGGCACCGTCCTCCTCACTGACGTGACCCGAGCTCTCAGGGGAGTGGCGGGCTCCAGGTCTGAGGATGGGCATGTGCAAGACGGACCTGGAGCGTCATTTCACAAGAAGAAACAAGGAAGCTTTCAGACACTCCTGGGGCTACAACAAAACAACTCAAGGGGCCAACTTGTTTTAGCTGACAGGCCAAAAATAGAAAATTTTAAGCATCAATGAAAATCACATCTATAATGGTTAAGATATAAAACATATAAAATATGTTTAAATGTGAGTTGATAAAGTTAAAAATAATAAGACTCACTGACCACTGTTGGAGGGTGTTGGGAAATCAATTCATTATAAAAACCCATAAATAAAGAGAAAGAATCAATTCACTCAGCCTTTCCTATAACCAAAAAGATGATGAAAGTTTCTCTTCACAGAAACAGTTTAAAATAGTAAACTAAGAAGGAATACAATCATTTAAAACACCTAATTTTTTAATTAGTTAAAAAAGAGAAAATGAATATTAATGGTTGTTATCATAAACAAAAACCAACCAGACACCACGGGCCCCTCATGGAAGGACAGACCACCCCCAAGGAAGCAGACTCCCCCAGACGAAACCGAATCTAGCCCCACCTCCCGGTCTAAAGAGGGAAAACACAGCAGGCAGTGCGCCCCGGACGGAGTGGGGGAAACGCTGTAGGAGAAACGGGGCACCCCCAGTAACACGGACCCTTACTTCCACATCTCTACTGATGCAACACGGACCGCTTATCTGAGTCTGATTCAAAGAAACCTTTTTTTTTTTTAAAGGCACTTGTGGAAAAAATTGAGACATCTGAACATTAACTGGATCTGTATTGATATTAAATAACTATCTGCTCATTTTTTTCCAAGTGTGATAACAGTTTTGTAGCTCTACAATTTAAAAATCCTTATATTTTAAGTGATATATTCTGAAGCAGTCACAAGTAAAATAAGATGTCTGAGATTTGTTTCAAAATAATCCAGACCAAGAAAGAATGAGTGCGAGTATCAAAGAATTAACAGTGGCCGTACCTGTTGAATTAAGACTGGTAACTGCTGGAGCTGGGCGGTAGTATGTAAGAGTTCACTGTGATAGTCTACTTTTTCAAATACATATTGGAAATATTTCTTAATAAAAAAAGAAAACATATAGCTATTCATAATGTAATACTCACCTGCCTCGACTGCCAGTACTAGAGGTACTGGGGGGCCTCACAGGTGTGTGAGAATTGGATAAACCTGCAACCAATAAGTTAAAATAAGTATCAATGCAGATAAGAGTATTCAGAATTCCATCTACTAATTACGGGATTAAAGATGATTATAATAAAACTCATTAATTCTCAGAAATCAGACACAGGCTTGGCCTCAGGTTGGCAGACCTCGCCCAGTCTCTCGGTCAAACCCCACTCCCAGAATTCTCCTCACAGCAACACTTTCTTTTCGATCAGTGACAACACAGCAGGTAAGAAAAAGCTATTTGCTGTCTTGCCCCAAGTCATCAGGTAAGCATACTGCTTAGATTCCTATTATTTACCCTTTATTTCAGAAGTCCTATAATAATTACAATAAACCTCAAAAATTAGATGATCCAAAAAATGTATTAATGATGCATCTCATGCAAAACTCACATTGAAATCTGAACTATTCTTACTCTGGAAATAATGAGGTGGTCTGTTCTAGTAAGGAAAAAAATAACAGTTAATTTGCCGCAGAAAAATCTATTCCTTAACTCTGCGCTGTCGATTATGGGGAGTTGCTGTAATCATTCACTCATGGTGAAGTCAATAAAACAACTGGGATTTTGCAAGAGCTGTATTTCATGAACTTGGTTAGTCACACATTTTAACACTTTCCAATAAAATTTGGTTTTAAAATTACAATTTGAAAATTCACTTGCTTTCCCTTCACTTTTTTCAACAAATTTTCCACTTTTCATTATTTTACAAAAGTGTGTTAAACTTGGGTTGAAACCAAAAAACTCTTCAACTGATGATCTAGACTGGAGAACGTGAGGAAGGCATGGAAGTCAGCGCGTCCCCCAATGCGGCGACATACGCTAGCAGAGCTCGGGGAGAGGGGAGCGGCGCCCCGGCGTTCTGAACAGCACACACAGAGAGAAATTCATTTCACTTCAGTTGGCTAAAGACCGCCAACACTACCTGGAAAAAAATAATCAGAAGGAGCAACCGGGGGAAAAATACGATATGTTATGAATTAATTCCGTGGATCACCTTGGCCAGAGGAGAGTACCCCGTTGTTTGGCCAAACACCAGTCTAAATGTTGTCGTGAGGGTATTTTTTTTAGATGTGATTAACATCTCAATCAGTAGATTCTGAGTAAAAAAGATCAACATCTGTATGTGCATGGGCCTCATCTAGTTAGTTGAAGACCTCAGTAGACAAAGCCTGAGGTCACCAGAGGAAGGGCTCTGCCCCTGGACTTGATATCCCATCATCAACTCTCCCTGGGTCTCCAGCCTGGCAGCCTGCTCTGCAGAGTCTGGGCCTGCCAGCTCTGACAACCACGTGAGCTTATTCCTTCAAACCTCTCCCTACACAGGCATACACGCACACACACACACACACACACACATGCACACACAGACGCTTGTTGTAACAGAGCGAGGCGGCCCCTCGACCAATTTTACCTGACGATCCTGGAGACAGGGCAGAGGGGCCCGGAGAGGGGTTCATGGTGCTTGTAGGCTGTGGGGGTAGGTGACTGCCTGAGATGTATCTACTTAGTAGATTATCTAAACTACTTGAACCAGCATCTTCCAACTAAAGAAAACAGAAAGATAAATTCGCTTTGATTAAACAGAGTAGAAGTTATCAATTTTATTAGGGTAATCACTTATGCTCAGTTTCCTAATAAACAGATCATCCTACATCTGAACCAGCCTGTTGCTTCCTTAGGCGCCCTAAGGGACCCCCACAGTATAAAGTTTATGTGAATAAAGCTATATTAATATTATTCAACAAATACCCAGCAGAACAGGACAAAACCCAATACACTAAATTCTTTATGTTCTAATATGAAAACAGCATTGACACATCCTGACATGTTTGACTTTTCTCAAAGTTGATGCAAGACTCCATCATCCTTACCCCATCGTCCTTTCTCTATTTCAACACCCAAAAATCTCCCAGAATCATTTACCCAAACAGGAATTTGATGTCAATGCCCAACTCCAAAGCTGAGTCATGTTTATATGCAGGAGAAAGCCCTCAGCCCAAGACACTGGGTCCCTTACTTCACAAAAAGTGGTCACCAACAGGCTGTAGGCTGAAGCCGGAGGGCCTGGCACGGAGACCGTGACCCGGTTTCCAACTGAGCACGAGTTTCCCGTCTTTAAAACATTCACCCACAGTGAGAACTGTGATGATGAGATGAGAAAATACCTGTGTACAATTACAGAAACCGCCCTAAGTGTATACTGTTCCATATCGGGGATGGCCAAACTGCCCTTAACTCACTGCCCGTCTTCTTGCTCACCGATCGGACTGGCTCTGCCCGTGCCCCCTCCGCACCTTCTCTCCCACTGGAGGCAGGGCTGTTCCTGAAAACTCAACACACCTTTACTACTTGCTTTCCTTCCCTCCCAAAACACACAGAATGACTATAAAACAGGAAAAGATGGCATCAAAGCAGAAACTTTGGAAGAAACCATAAATATATATACCAAGGTAGAGTTGGACTGACAGAAAAATGAACTGAATAAAGGAGCTCAAAACATACCTCAGGCAAAGGAGGATTTTCCTAAAAATAATTTGGTATCCATTTACAGTAAAAATTATCAACAAAGTGGGTACAGAAGGAACATACTGCAACATTATAAAGGCCATAAATTACAACTCAACAGCTAACAACATACTTAACAGTGAAAAGCTGAAAGCTCTTCCTTTAAGATCTGAAAAAAAGACAAGGATGCCACTCTTGCCACTTTTATTCAACATAGTGTTGGAAGTCCAAGCCAGAGCAATTAGGAAAGAAAAAGAAACAAAAGCATCTAACTTGGAGAGGAAGAAGTAAAACTGTCCTTATTTGCAGATGACATATTATAGATAGAAAATCCTAAAGACTCCACCAAAAACTGTTAAAATAAATCAATTCAGTGAAGCTGCAGGATACAAGAGCAATTAGGATTAGAGTAACTAATCCTAAAATTTATACAAAACCCAAAAAGACTCTGAAGAGCCAAACTCTAAGAACAAAGTGGGATGTATCATACTCCCCGATATCAAGCTGCAATACAAGCTACAATAATCAAAACAGTATGGTACTGGCATAACAAATACAGATCCATGGAATAGAGAACCCAAAAATAAATTCTTGCATTTATGGTCAATTAATCTACAACAAAGGAGGCAAGGATATACAATGGGGTAAAGACAGTCTCTTTGGTAAGTGGTACTGGGAAAACCAAACAGATACATGCAGAAAAATGTAAAATGGGGCCACTTTCTTACACCACATAAAAATAAACTCAAAATAGCTTGAAGACTTAAATGTAAGACGTGACACCATAAAATTCCTGCAGAGAACATAAGCAGTAAACTCTCTGATACCACTTGTAACGGAATCTTTTTGGATATGTCTCCTTGGGCTGGAGAAACAAAAAATAAACAAATGGGACTCTATCAACCAAAAAGTTTTTGCACAGCAAAGGAAACCATCAACAAAACAAAAAGACAACTGACTGAACGGGAGAGGATATATGCAAATGATACATCCAATAAGAAGTTAATATCCAAAATACATAAGGAACTTACACAACATAAAAAAATACCTGAACAATCCAACTAAAAAATGGACAGAGGACCTGAATAGACATTTCTCTAAGAAGGATATACAAATAAATAGCCCTGGCTGGTGTACCTCAGTGGATAGAGCACGGGCCTGCGAACCAAAGGATCGCGGTTCGATTCCCAGTCAGGGCACATGCCTGGGTTGCAGGCCAGTGCCCAGTGGGAGACACACGAGAGGCAACCCTACATTGATTTTTCTCTCCTCCTCTCCTTCCCTTCCCCTCTAAAAATAAATAAATAAAATCTTTAAAAAAAGAGAGAAGGATATACAAATAACCAACAGACATAAGAAACCTGCTCATCACTAATCATCAGAGAAATGCATATTAAACCCTAAAGAACTATCGATCATCTCATACACATCAAAATGGCCATCATCAATAACTCATAGTAAGTAACAAGTGCTGGCAGGAAAAGGGAACCCACCCATGTACACTGAGGGTGGAATTATGAATTGATGAGCCACTATAGAATATAGTATGGAGATTCCTCAAAAAATTAAAAATAGAGCTACCATACAACCCAGCAATTTCACCACCAGGTATTTATCTGAAGAAACAAAAAATACCAACTTGAAAAGATATATGCACCCCTATGTTCACTGCAACATTACTAATAATAGGCAAGACATGGAAGCAACCTATATGTCCATCAACAGATGAGTGGATAAAGAAAATGTATATGCATACACAATGAAATTATTGCTCAACAATAAAAAAATGAAATTTTGACATTTTGTAACAATATGGAGGAACCTAGAGGGTATTATGCTAAATAAAATAAGCCAGATAGAAAAAGACAAACACTATACAATCCCACCTGTATGTGGAGTTTGAAAACAAAACAAACTCACAGATACAGAGAAGAGAAGGTGGGTGGGCGAAACAGGTGAAAGGAGTCAAAAGATACAAACTTCCAATTACAAAATCAATAAATCATGGGGAGGTAATACATACAGCATAGTGAGTACAGATAGTAATACTCAAATAATACCATACTTAAAAGCTAAGAGAGTAAATATTAAAAGTCCTCATCACAAGAATATAACTTGTAACTGTACAATGACAGATGGTAACTGTCACCATACTTACTGTGGTACAGTCGTCCCTCGCTATATTGCAGTTCACTTATAGCGGGTTCACTATACCGCAGGTTTTGAAAGATATAGAATTTTACATGTTGTTAAAATTATGTAGGTTTAAGAATGTAGAAAGTGCCCTGGCTGGTGTAGCTCAGTGGACTGAGCGCGGGCCTGCAAACCAAAGGATTGCTGTTCGATGCCCAGTCATGGCACATGCCTGGGTTGCAGACCAGTTCCCAGTAGGGGACCCATGACAGGCAACAATACATTGATATTTCTCTCCCTCTCTCCTTCCCTTCCCTCTCTAAAGATAAATAAATAAAAAATCTTAAAAAAAAAAAAAAGAATGTAGAAAGTATTTAAGAGCATATAAGTGTTTACAAGAGTGTGGAAAAGGTTAATAAGAAAGTGGGAAAGGTTTATAGGAGTGTGAGATGGGTTTATAAAGCCTTAAAAATTATATATATATACATATATATACAAAAATAACAAAATAAATATAATACTGCTACTTCACAGATTTTCACCTATCGCGGGGGTCTCTGGAACGTTACTCCTGCAATAGGCGAGGGATCACTGTAGTCATTTCGAAATGTATACAAATACCCAATCACTAATGCTATACACCTGACATTAATATAATGTTTGATGTCAATTATACCTCAATTTTTAAAAAAGAAAATAGGCCCTTCTCATTAACAAAGTATTTGTCATTAAATGCCCCAGAGAGCTGCATGTCAGCGACGTAAACGCTGGATGTGAGGTAGGCTACAGGCTAACACGAGGGACAATGAAGGCAGACTGGGAGCCGTGCCTGCCCACTGGTCACAGCCCTTGGCCGTGGCTTTACTCGTAAACTCTAATCACCAGAGAACCCCTTGCCGCCACCGCAGTGTGACTGCTGGAGGACGTGTGAAGAGGGGCAGCTACTGCGCCAACACAAGCCCCAGGCAGCACCAGGCCCCGTCTCACCTAAACATGAAACAGTCCCACCTTACCTACCTCCGCTCCCACTCTCTTACACTCTCCTGCCTGCAATTTGTGTCTCTGCAGACAGACAACCTGAAGGCTGGAAGAGGGAACAGGAAGAGGCAAACCCAGAGGACACGGGCTTCCCAGAAACTACTGTCCCCAACAGGGAAATGGTGGCTGCAGCATCTGCCTCCAGGTTCCATTAGACTCGGATAAAGTCACCGTAAAGTTAGAGGTTTCACTAGAAGAACAATTCCCTTACTCACTAAGCCAATGGTTTTTGAGCTCCCTGGATAACTGTATAGAACATGTGTGATATAATAATTTCTATGAACTGAAACAAATACAAATATCAATGAGTCTAAGATAACCAACCATGCAAATAAAATCAGTGTTATTTTTATCTATCACTCTGACAAAGATGGAAGAAAAGACTGATTTAGCCAACGTTGGACATAGTATAAAAATGAGTACTCTATAATATTTAAATTTGCATGTAAGTATCAGAAAGTTTTTCCAAAATTTCACAATATCCAATATAGTATCCGAAGTTACTAATATGCCAAATACAAAAAAATGTACAAAAATATGAATGAAATCATTAGAATACTAATCTCTTGATCATATGAGGAACAGAATCCAAGGTTCATTTATAAATTCAAGACGTATCCAGGTTCACTACATATTCCCTCAAAGTCAAATCACAAACATGCATCATCACTATGTACTATAGCGATATAAAAAATAATTCAAATTCTACTCTATACTGGATGCCCATGATGATCAGTATTAAAATACGTCAGCAAATATTCAAAACTGTCTTTGTGTTTACTGCCTGTCTGTGTTACATAATTAACACTGCCTCACCTCCTCCCATACAGCTTCCCCGGGTTTCCTTTTCCTATGCCATGGAAACTACCAGACAGGAGAAAAGTGATTCTTCTAGAGATAATAGGTTTGCTTCCCTTTCTATTCTGGTTCATATGGTTAACTATTTCTTACTTTGTCACTCTGTGGTAACACCTCTAATTCCTTTCAAAAATAAGTGACAGTAACAAGAGGTAGTGAGAAGGTGGAGAACAGAAACCTGCACACACTGCTGCCGGGACTACAAAACAATGCAGCCACTGTGGACAAGAGTCTGGCAGTTCCTCAAAACACAAACACTCACTATATGACCCTGAATTTCCACTCCCAGAAATTCAGCACCGAGAGCTGATAGCCTGTGTTCATTCACATGTTCAGAGAAGCATTACTCCTCACAGCCAAAAGTGGAGACCAAATGTCCATCAGCTGATAGATGGATGAGCAAATGTGGTTCATCCACACAACGGAACAGTCTGCCATAAAAAGGAATTCAGCACTGACACATGCTATAATATGGAGGAACCTGGAAAACACTATGCTCAGTGAAAGGTGCCAGTCACAAAAGGTCACATACTGTATAATTTTGGGAACCACCCTGCCTGGTTGGCTAAGTCTGAGTAAAAGACCTTGGGACTATAAACCACTGAGACAAAGCTTGTCTTCCTGGCTGGGGTGCTGCCTCTGCCTCCTTTACTTCATTCTGCTTGGCCCCCCGGGGCAAAAGACTGGTTAGCCAATGATGGGTTAGATTCCTCAAGGAAGGGACGACATAAGACAGGCACAGTCATGAAGGGGCCATCAGGGAAGGACTTGGGGGCTATAGAAAAAGGGGGTGATGGACCCTCACCCTTAGGCTTCGACATAGTCTGAGTCCTCATTCTGTCTGCAGGAAATCTCTCAATCTCTTGGCTGCCTCACTTCCCCTGCCTGACTTAAGCCTGAAACAATGCCAGAGGGTGGTGTAGCCCTAGGCGGGAACACACAGTTCTCTGGAGTGATCAGGCCTAAGAAAGAATGCATAAAATCCTGTGAAAACTGCTTTGCTAAGAATGCCCTTAATTTTCTAAAAGGGCCCAGTCATAAAATGAGTTTGTTTCCCAAAGTTTTATGGCCCTTTAGCTAACTGACCCTGCCGCAGAATAAGTCCCCATAGTTCTTTGAATGGTATCTATTGTTTGATCATTGCTGCCTGACAATGGCTGATGAGCTGTACCTGTATTCCTGTGCAAACTGAACTCAATAAAAGCCCACTGAGGAACAGTTCAAGGCCCTTTTCCTCTAAGAGAGTGGCTACCTTTCCTCCCCAAGCAGATCGTATCTTGGTAAACTGACTCTCATCTGTGGAGGATGGGGGCAGCACTCTGTGGGCGGAGCCCCTCCACATACAATCTCAGTCATACAAAATGTCCAGAACAGGCAAATGCATGATCTCTTGGCTGCCTTACTTTCCCTGTCTGACTGAAGCCTGAGACAATGCCCAAGAATGGGGGCAGCCCTGGGCAGGAACAGGAAGAAATGAGTGGTTTCCGGGGTGGGAATGAGTGGCTTCCAGGGTGAAGAGGGGAATGGAAAGTGGCTGCTAACAGGTCCAGAGTTTCTTTTGGGTGTGAAATGTTCTGGACACAGTAGTGACAGTGAATAGACTAATAACCAGTGAATTGTACATTTTTAAAAGTTGGATTTTATGGTATGTGAATTACATCTCAATTTCTAAAAGCATATGATAGTTTCATAAATCTATAAATAAAAATAAGATCAGACATGTGCAAGGAAGAAAAAGCTCCTCAGTGAAGTCATGACCTCTAGTCTCTGACCCACTTTAAAAACTGAACACGGAGGGCACACATTCCGAGCTTCTTTTCTTGATCACACAGCTCTTCTGGGCGAGATGACAAGGAAGGTGTAACATGAGCCTACTTCCCCTGGGATGTCCAACTTTAGAGGACATGGAGCACCTATACTTCCAGCACCTGGTCTGTGTGAGAAAGGATGGGACCAAGGGCCAGACTGACCCTAGCAAATTATGTTAAGTTTCACATTAGCAACTCTCTTAAGACCTGAAATGAAGTCTTACCTTTTTACTGTTAATGCCCCAGGACTTTAATATACAGTGCGTGCTTAGTATAACGTGAATGACTGACTCCTTGGACACTGTCACGTACCTTTCTCCGAGTGCCCAAAGCCTCTCAACACTAATACCTTCTCAGGCCTCCAATCCCAAACTACCTCCCTGACATCTACTCTTCATAGAATAGGGGAGGAGTTGGACTGGTTGGTAATCAGGATTTGCGCTTTCTATTGCAACTTTTCCATTTACTGGGTGACTCTGAGAAAATCACTAACTTCTTAATCTCACCCATAAAGTAGAGATATTACACAAATATGAAATGATTTCAAGTATTAAACTGATACACTATCTATGAAAATTCCTTGTAAATTATAAACTTATAACTTAACAATTTTATTTATATACTCCAAAAATTTCCATATATATAGTCCAGAACTCTCAGTACCAACACAACTACAACTTGCTTTGCCAATAAAGATCTCCCCTAACATCAGGAAAGCAATCAGATTAAGGGAATTTACAATGAATGAGTGGTTTTGAAACAACACTGGAATTAAAGAAACATCCCTTAAAGTAAGTCATAGAAACCCATCAAACATATTAAAATGTTCAACAGCAGCCATGGACAGTCAGGGCCCCAGCGAGTCAGAAGTCTGCCTGCACCTTGCTCCCACAGCACCTCATGAGAATACAACTCAGTATAATCTTCAAAGGTTATATTTACATTTAAAAATACAAAACGTTTTTGAATCAAATAAATTAGCAAAATTTCAGAAAGCACTGAAGGGAAAGGTACAGTGCGCCTCAGAGGCCCTGCAGCCCCTCCCTCCCTCGCCACGCCCTTCCTCCCCTCACCACGCCCCCCCCTGTCCCAGCCCACACTCGGCGCCTCACACCCCAGCCTCTCCCTCCTCAGTCCGGCCTGTCTACGTAATGACTCTAACAGAAATGACAAAGACTTGACCACATTTTGGTCCTGGGTCTCCTCTCTGGATCCAAACCACACAAAGAGGGCTTTACCTAAGTCAAGATTTATTTACCTGTTGGCAGGTGAGAGAAAGATAAGCAGTTTACATCTTATAACTTAAAAATATCGAGGAGTGCTAGTTTTAGCACATGTAACTTTCAAAAATTCAAATATAACCAACTCTTTGGAAATTTCAAAAGATGTAAGTTTTACCTAAATTTTAAAACAACCAGAAAAATATACTCAAATATGCTAATGAACACAAGATTTGAAATCTTTCATTCAACTTAAATCCAAACCTGTATGGGTGGAATATCTGGTAACGATGGAAGGTTTTCTGGATTGGTAACCGAGGGGATCAGCTCTATTGCCGTAACGGACGGGCTGGTGGGACCGCGATTCGCACTGGCCATCGTAGCCGTGGTGGGGCTGGTGGGGTTGATTGTGTTGTGCGCTGACACGACAGGAAAGGGCCCGGCATGCCCTGGGTTTGAGTGCTGTCAGGAAAGAAGTGTTATCATCACTTAATCAGCCGAGATAATCCTAACAGGAATGTACCTTGACAACCAGTTTTAACTTAGGAAGGATATACAAGCGTCAGATACCTATGGTTGAGAAACAAGCAAGCTCTCTCAAACTTACATAGGTGAAAAACTGTAATTCTAACTTAAGTCTTTTCATTTTTCTATTCATTTTTGTGCAGTATTTAGGAGAAAACAGATTTGGCAATAATTTTCAACCTGGCAGTCTGGTAACATGGTCTTACTCAGAACAAAGATGGACGTTAACTAGAAACCCCCAAGTAAGTCTTCATACAGCGTACCAGGAAAACCACCACTCTGTCTACATTCCTCTTTTGAGTCTTTGTCTTTTTAAAAATAAAAGTAACTGGCCCTGGCTGGTGTGGCTCAGTGGATTGAGTGCTGGCCTGCAAACCAAAGTGTTGCTGGTTCAATTCCCAGTCAGGGCACATACCTGTGTTGCGAGCTGGGTCCCCAGTAGGGAACACATGAGAGGCAACCGCACACTTATGTTTCTTTCTCTTTCTCCCTCCCTTCCCCTTTGTCTAAACACAAATAAAATCTTTTTTTTTTTTTTAAAGCAAACCTCTGACAATTCCTAGTCCCATCTACTACAACCCCAGGGTTTGAGAGACGGGGAGGGAAGGAGGGGGAGGGGGGGAGAGGGAAGCAGAGGTACAAGAAAGCTGTCAAGCTGCTGATCCAGTGCCTAGCTCCAAAACTTGTCTAACTAATCTTTAAGTGGGTTCTGATATTTGATGAGCAACAAAAATTAAGATAAAGACTTGATAAGATTTTTAAAAGTTTTCATAGCTCATTGTGAGATTAGGCTTTGATAACCTAGAAAATGCCCAAAGAATTGAGAAATATTCATTTATTTCCCAGATACATTCTTTTGTGAACAAGTTTCCCAAGCATTACATAAAAAAACCCACACACACAAGCTAGTAATAAAGATTGATGTTGAATTCTAACTTACTCTAACAATAAGAGGCATACAAACACATACAAATGGAAAGAAAGGGGGGAAAGGTTCTGCTTCATGCACAAAAAAATGTAGATCTACAAAATTTTTACTCTTTATGTTTCCTAATATTCTTCAAGCATGTGAACATGTACGTTGTTTAAACAACTATACAGGAATAACTATAATAAAGTCTGATCTAAAGATAGTCAGTTTAATAACAGCCTTACTATCACTAGATATTTAAGAATTGTAAAATTAAAAGACATTTTTCCACAGAAAAATTCCAAGACTGATTTATAACTTTATCAGACAGATATACATATTATGATAAAATGCTACAGAAGAATTAATAGAAGAAATAGTCAACTTCCAGGAAAGAAGGAAGTATAAAATGTTGACTTTCAAAAGATCCCTGGCCGATCTGGCTCAGTTGTTGGAATGTTGTCCCATAAACCGAAAGGTTGCAGGTTCGATTCTCCATCAGGGCACATTCCCGGGTTACAGGCCCAGTCACCAGTCAGGGCGCACTCGGAAGGCAAACTGTGGACGTTTCTCTCTCACATGGGTGTTTTTCCCTGTCCCTTCCTCCCTTCCCCTCCCTCTAAAATCAGTGAGCATGTCCACAGGAGGAGAATTAGAAAAAAGACAAAGAGTTTGCCATGGTATTTGGGACTCCAGTGGATTCACTCACTAGACTAAAATAAAGGTTTTAGCCCTGGCCAGTGTGTGGCTCAGTTGGTTGGAGCATCGTCCCAGAACTGAAATGTTATGGGTTCGATTACTGGTCAGGGAGTATACCCAGGTCTTGAGTTCAATATCTGGTTGGGGTGCTTACAGACGGCAACCATTCCACGTTTCTCTCTCTCTCGCCCTTGCTCTCTTTGTAAAAGCAGTGAAAAAATATCCTCAGGTGAGGATAAAATAATTTTTTTAAACTGTGTTGTACTTTATGTAAGTATTTACAACATACCAGAAACAAACCATATCCTTGCAACCATCTACACTTAAACTTATAATGAAAATGCGAGGGAGCATGTATTTTTCCAAAGCCTTTCCAGAAGTGCCTGGGCCAAAAAGCTGAGGGCCCGCTGCTCTAAGAAGATAGTACTTGTCAATGTTAGTGCACAGACTGATCCAAGAGAGTTAGTTAGTAAGCGTTTACACATTTCTGAGTATCACTCCTAGAAATTGATTTGGAGGGTATGGCTTTGAAGCTGTTTCTGGCAAGGCCTCCAAGTCACTGTGATGGTCTTTAAAGAAACATCACTGTTAAAGAGTGAACCGCATTATTGTATAACTAGAAAACCCATGTAAAAGTAGCTTCGTTTCAAAATCATGTCTCTGCCCTGACCAGTGTGGCTCAGATAGTTAGGCAATGTCCTGCAAAGCAAAAGGGTCACCAGTGTGACTCCTGGTCAAAGTCAAAGCACATGCCTGGATTGTGGGATTGGTCCCTGGTTGGGACACTTATGAGAGGCAACCAATTGATGTTTCTCTCCCTCTCTTTCTCTCTCCCTTCCCCCTTCTCTAAAAGTACATAAATAAAATCTTTAAAAATCATGTCTCCTATATAAAGATAATCAATCTGTAATATTATTCCGGCAAAGACTAGAAAATGTGTCTCTGAATACATTTATTTTTAAGGGTAGGCATATCTATATCCTGAAAAGAACAACAGTAAGTAGAGAGAAGTAAAAACAAAAATTAATAATAGCACAGGTTTGTTTTCAAAGTCCTTTTTATGTATTAGGTTCAAAACTTCATGTTTAAAAGAGCAGAAAAAATACCCACAACTGCAGGAAACGAAGGTTCTAATCTCGATTTCACCATTGTATCTTGTGGTTGTGGACAAATAACAAGCTCCTGTGTTACTTAACTCCGTAAAATGAATTGGGTGAACTAGATTAAGGGTTCTAAACCCAGAGTACATAAAAATTTAATGGCATCAAATAAACCCTTAAAATTAAATACAAAATGTTATATCTACATGCATTTTTCTGGGGCAAGAAGATACACAGCATTCCTCAAATTCTCAAAGGTATCAATGATCCCGCCTCCCACCAACTGATGAAGAAAAATGGTGTCTTTTAGTTTTAAAATTGTATGGTTCTTACAAATGTAACTCTAGGCATACTTGTCTTTGGAGGTGTGGCTGCATCATGGAGTACTGAGGGCCGCTGTGCCTGGGAATCCCTGAAATCCGGGCAGCGTTCTGAGCCAGTCTCATCTGGTGGGCTTGGAAAGATCCACAGTTCATGTTGTTCCTCTGCATTGCTTGCACGCTGATCAGCCTGGGAGGCTACATAATGTTTTTAATAAATTTATATTTCTCATAAAATGTTACGGTAAAAGTAATTCTGTCAGGATACATAAGAGTATAAATTAAAAAGCGAGTAAGTCATTCTCCTCATCTCTAGCCCAAAAGCCCCTTCTCTCAAGGTCTGTATGTGTTTAAAGCATTAACTTTCCCAACTTTGGATCGGGGAGGAGAAGGCAGGAGAGGTACAAGGATGGGAATGGTTTTAACAAAAGCCCAAATCACATTATTAGAAATTGGGCAAAAATAATCTGGCTCTGGCCCAAAACCACGTGTACAAACCAAAAAAAAAAGAATCTGGTATGAAGAACAATAATCTGTGTACTAGTGAGTTAATTTTGTTTCCCATGGTTACTTACTGTCTGTCCTTCCTCACAATGACTCTGCCATAGCTAGAACAGTATTTAAACTCTGACCTTGGAGCTCTTTCCCTACATGTCAATTTGAAATGCACGACTCATCTATAGGAGACAGTGTGTAGTCCTGAAGTTTTCACCAGATACATCAATAATTCAGTGATGTAATACTCACCTGCTGTTGTAACATCTGAGGGGCTGCCTGTCGTGGATGCTGCTGTGTTGTTGTCGTCGTCGTTGCTACAGGTGCAGGGGGTTGCTGCATTCTCATTTGCTGCAACTGCTGATGCTTCTGTGCATACACTTGCTGTTGCATGTGCTGGAGTCGAAGCTGTGCTAAGTTAATCTGTCCAGGGGTTTTACTAATGTGGTTTGTCCCTGGAGGGACTTGCCCGACTACAACATTAGGAGTATACCCAGGAGCTGGTTTACTCTCTATTACTAGATTACCTGAAAGATTTAAAAAATGAGAATGATTTGTACATAACCAAATAAATCATCTACATTTTGTGGATTAATCATTATCTTTTCCCCTTTCCTCTGAAAACTCTCAGAACTCAAAGCTTCCGACAGTACAGTAGAGATGGGAGCTAGGTTTAAAAGATGATAAAGATCAGAAACCTAGTATAGTCCAAAGCCAAATAATTGACTTTTGATTATTGAGAATATATTCCTTATTTACATACATGTACAGAAAACTAGAGAGCTAAAAGAGATGTTATCAGAGGAGGCCCATCTAATCCAACTAAATCAATTCTCCTTTGACAAGATACAAGAATACTCAAGATTACAACTGCTGATTCCATCTGCCTTTGAATTGCCAAAAATGCAGGGCAGAATACTACAATGCTACAAAACTGTCTTCTGTGGAAATATGTCCTTAGAAATGACAATTTTCCTTACTTTTCACAGAGCCCATTGCTTTCTAAAAGGAGGAGGAAATTTCAGGAAGGTCTGATATAAAGTAGAGCTGTCAAACCTTTCCTGTAATGAGCCAGATAGTAGTAGTTCAGACTTCACGAAAACTGTCATGTATATTTTATTTATTTGTTTTTATAATCCTTTAAAATGTAAAAAACAACCTTAGCTATCATGCCACTCCAAAACAGTTTGCTGACGCCTGATCTAAGGCTATAGCCAAATCTGAACAAACACAAAGATTACTTTTTTATGGAAGTCGCTTCTGCTTTTACGGCTTCCAATGGTAAGAATCTGGCTCCTTGAAAAGTGAGTTTACTCAATCTGTACACAACTCTGCTTAGAAAAGTTTTACGGTTTTGCCTTAGTACAAGCAGAGCAACTGGTCCGTTGCTCCGTAACTTTCACCAGTGTTCTGTAGTCCCACACCGTGGGGTGACGAAAGCAAAGTCCGTTCCTCTTCCATGTCAAACAAGCTACTCTGACCCTTCAAACATTCCTCAGGACACGCCTCTCAGACACATCAGCAACCTGGACGTCCTCCTCTAGAGGACGATGTGGTACAATTACATACAAACTACTGAGCATCTAACACTTTCTTCCAGACAGTGAAGATCCATTCGCTGAGTTTTCAAAATGAAACAGCCAATGTCTATTTAAAAGACGTGGGGAAACGTTTAGAATGATATGCATTTTTAAAACTATACAGGAAACTCTTAATATTCTTAAAAATGTAATGAACAGAGTCTAAGTGAGTTTCCAATGAAAAACATATTTTCCAAGTTTATACGTTAGAGTGAAGTTAAAAAACTTTCAGTATCTAAAATTTGCTTTACATGCTTCCTCCTCCTAATTCAGTGTTCCAAGGTAAATTTATAGAACTAATGATTTCTCACCTAAATTGACTACATTCTTTGCCCAGAAGGTGGGATCACAATGGAAACGTATTGCTCCATTAGCAGCAGGGACAGGATCACAACGAGCTTTCAAAATATGGCGCAATTGAAAAGTAATCTTAAAGGGAAAAAATTCACATTAGTCTTAAAATTAAGTATCACTTGAAAAAACATACAAGATAAAGACATAAAAGCTCATGTAACCCCACAGTGCCAGTCTCCAGAGAGACAGTATCGGTGCTGAAAGACCATCTAACATCTACATTAGCAATCAAATGCACATGCTTGAGTTTCTGCTGTTCTGAGGGTACCTTCCAAATAGAATACTGTGTGATTCCACTGATACGCAATTCTATAAAACACAGAAATCAGATGAGTAACTGCCTAGGGCCAGGGGTAGAGGGGAACAAGGAAACTTTTGTGGGCGATGGAGGTTTTCTACATCTTGATGTGGTAGCGAACACATCTGGCAAAATTCAAAATCTACCCTTTAAACAGGTGCAGTTCACTAAACGTGTAATGAAGCTGACTTAAAAATAAAGACCCGTGTGTCTCACCAGTCGCTTGCTGTACAGCAGGGCTGTGCTGCTGCCACTTGCAATTGCCCAGTTTGTGAAGTTCATAACATGCTTCACCTGCCGCGACAGGCCTGTGATGTCATTCTGCTGCTGTAGTAACTTCATCTGTCTTTCTTTTGTAACATTCTGAAACAGAACAAGAGAGTCACCAAAGGATTCTGTATAAAAAAAAAAATCAAGCCATAATTTCTATTGGAAATGACACAGTACATCTATTTCTTTTAAAAAATGGGAACAGTACAAATAGAAGCTAAAAACGGGCAAGTTAATGAGTTCCTCCTTATTCAATGAGCCAATAATCAAGTGAAAAATCACTCACAAAAATGGGACTGAAACTTAGTTGTCCAGACTAAAAAGGACATTCCATATACAGAAATTAATGTTACATATATATTATTTTCCTTCAAAAGATTAAATGTCTTTGTTAAAGACAGTGTCTTTCTATATTAGGATACTCCAGCAATTTTCAACCAGTGTGGTGCAAGAATTTTTTAAGCATGCAATACCTGACTATTTATAATCAGAGGCACTGGTGTCATTTCCCTTAGATTGTCAAATTAAAAAATGACAACATGCTCTGGCCAGTGTGGCTCAGCTGACTGAAGCACTGTCCCATAAACTAAAAGGTTGCAGGTTTGATTCCCAGTCAGGGCACATGTCTAGGTTGCACGTTCAGTTCCCACTCGGGGCACGTACAAGAGGCAACTGATGGATGTTTCTCTCTCTCATCGATGTTTCTCTCCTTCTCTGTGTCCTTCCCTTTCCCTCTCTCTAAAGTCAATAAGCATGTCCTTGGGTGAGGATAAAAAAATTTTAAATGGTAACAGCCAACACAATAATAGCTATCTGGTGCAAATGATTCAAAATTATGCTTACTTTTTATCATCAGATCAGCAAAAAATATATTTTTTGGTGTGTTAGAGAATTTTAGTAATTAGTTTATGTGTGCCATAAGATGAAAGAGGTTGAAAATTGCTGGGCTAACCCATTACATGGAGTCTATTGCATAATAAGCTGACCTTTAGAAATAACATTATATAATCTTAACTTATTACACTTTTCAGGCCAAAGAAAACTTCCTTTTTCTCAGTGCCCCTTCCTAGCGTGGCATGAGGTAAATAATGTTCAAATCTCTTCTTTTAAATACTCAGACAAAATGAGAACGATGAATTTTAAAGCTTTAAGAGTAGAGGTTAGGGAAACTTTTGATCTGACAAAAGTTTATAAAGAACAAGTGAGTGAGAGTTGAAGGAAAGAGTAATCTGGAAGAAATGCTACAGAAGAAAAATGAACTGCATTCTGGGAAGTACGCCCCCCAGAAGGAGAGGTGACGCCCGCCATGCTTTGACACTGGTCCAGCACGCCAAACAACCCATCTACGTCCTTCTCAACCCCTTTTCAGTCAACTTGATTTATCAGACAATTTTTTCCTAAGGAAACAAGTTTTTCGTTTTATAATGTAAATCAATGAGTAACAGCATTGAGCTGACAGAAGTTTGACAACTTCACTGGAAATCATCCCTCTTATAAAACCTAGGAAAAACTCTTTTTTTACAAAGTTCTGGAACACATTACACTAGAAAACATCTATCATTTCAATCATCAGTAACAGAGTGTGTGGCAAATTCACTATTAGGTATTTATGAATATTTTAGCATAACAAGGCATCTCTTTAATTCCAAAGTTCTTGAAATGGCTTAAAAACATTATTTTAGACCTATAGTAAAACTATATTTACAGTAAGTTAAAAGTCATCAAAAACAGTTGCATACTCAGTGTTCTCTCTATTAACAGGGTCTTTTTGAAAACAAAAATCTATCAGATTTAAGTGCCACTGGCTGGATATATAACAGGAAAGAAAACACCAACTTTAACAATATGTGTTAGAGCCCTGGCTGGTGTGTCTCAGTGGATTGACTGTCAGCCTGTGAACCAAAGGGTCACCGGTTCAATTCCCAGTCAGGGTGCATGCCTGGGTTTTGGGCCTGGTCCCCAGTGGGGGGGTACATGAGAGGCAACCACACATTGATGTTTCTTTCCCTCCTTCTCCTTCCTTTCTCCTCCAAAAATAAGTAAATTATTTTTTAAGAAAACAGTATGTGTTAGAGTACTTTTGTATCTCAATGAAAAAATGAAATTCAGAAATAGCACTATGCTAACATAATTTCTTTAATTTGCATGTAATTATGTGTCTAATATTTCTCTGGCATTCTACAAAAAATGGAACAGAAAAAAATCTGCTATGGAAAATCTGAAGTTAATAGTAATGAAGTTAATCAAATACTCAGGTAGTTGAAACTGTTATTATTAAGTGGTGCAGAAAATATAACTGCCTATCATCTGAAGCCTACTTAAGAGTATGAAGTTTTGAGAACCAATCAACTGTAGTCGACAGAGATGCATCTTTGATTAAAACTTAATTTGGATTTCACAAATTGACTGGATTCACATCCAGAAATTTACATCTACATATTAATCTCCAATATGCAAAACAAAGACCTAATATAACAAAACCATCGGTAAGTTTAAAGTTTACATTTTTCAAAATGAGCAATTTTTGCAAAACTATGGAATATTTTTAAAATAAAGTGAAACATGCAAATGATTCAAGCAGGCTCCCAATACACATTCATATGCAGGTAAAAGTTAAACTGGGAAGGGGGACACCAAGGTGATGGGTCAGCCTTGTCTGCACTTACATCAAATTTTAGTAATAATTCTTTCATTCCTAAGAGGACAGAACTCTTTCCTAATTTAAAACCAGCTAAAATCAGTGGTATTACATTGTGGGGCAAAGTAACTAACTCGAAAAAAGGTCCATTTTCCAATAGCACATGAGAAAAGTTTTGTAGTTTACTTCCCTATCCCCCACAAGCAATCTAAAAGAGCTTTCAATAAACATTAAAAACAGCTGAAGAGTAACAGAAGCAGTTTTTGTTTGAGTTTGGCTTTGAACCATACCTCTAGCTGCTGTAAGAGAGATTTTCCCTTCTTATTAATTTCATTGATAAGGGTGAAAATGGCCACTTTTATTTCCTGTTCTACTCGCTTGTTAGTCTCGTTTACTTCTTTTATCCTGAAGAGAAATGCATCATCAGATTATCAATTTATCTCTAAATCATCAACTATTACAGAAATTCATCCATCTGGGCACTGAACCAAGCAATTAAAATTAAACCTTTGTCAAAATGTGTAACTTATGTTTCAGCAGAGCCAACCACTCAATTTAGTCAAAACAAGTTATATATATATAGACAAAGAATGGATTAAATATTGTCATTTTAAATTAAATTCATAAAGGCCAGTTTATTAATCTAGATGGCACTCTCCTCTCGTTCCTATAACAAACATACTATACAGACATTTGACATCAACAATGGCTGGTTAGTATCAATTCTGGCACACTGGTTCTAATTAATCTTAATGCTTTTCAAGAACAATGTGCAAAAAACCCCCAATGTTGCAACCAATAATTATCTTTTCAAATAGTAGGAATTAAGCTTAGAGGCATTAATTTTCATTCATAACTTAACCACTTCACACATGGATCCTAACATACCCCTTCTCACAGATCTTCTCAAAATGGTTTCTTACTGTATGCAGTTAAAGGCATAAAACATTTTCAATTCATTCGTTCAAAATAGCTATTAAAAGTTCTAGAAATAGATGTAAGTTACCACTGTGGTTAAAAAAGTTTTTGTTGCAAATAAGAAATAGCTGATATCCTGTTATTTACAAATTAGAAAGGGGGAAATCCCACCAATATAAATAAATAAAATGTTAAACAACAATAAGAAAGCCTTCAACTTTCAAAGTTGAAGAAGCTTCAACCCTGCTTCTGTACAAACCATATTTAACCCACACTTTCAACCCCTAAATTGACCTTAATTTGCCAAAATCAAATCTGAGTAACTTTCAACACAATCATAATAACATAGTTTTCCCTCCTTTGTCTGTATATCGGTGCTTATTTGGAAACTTATTTAAAAATTTTATTCAATTCTGTTCTTAAAGTTAATGAAAAACATTTTTTAAAAAATGAGTATTCTGATTACTCATAAGACATAGGGGACTCAAAATGATTTTGCCGAAGACTAAAATCATCAAATGTGCTCAAAGCAGTGAACAGTCAGCCACAGTCAGACTCTCATTGGACTTAGGAATGCCTACTGTATGTTCAATCATGTCAAAGAAAAAAAATGAATGTGTATTAAAAAATGAAGACAGGTCATCAAAAAATGTGTCTAAAAGGGAAAGTATCATTAGAGATTTTAACACCTTTTTTTAAGGCTTTCTGAAGATGAAACCATCAATCTTTCCAATCCTTTGCAATCTTATAAAACATAAACTTCTTGTTCTACTTCTCCACACAGATTCAAGAACATAAATGAAAAATATGTACAAAAACATATAGACAAAAATATGAGATTGCCATATGCATCAACTCACCATCCTTTCTCTGAAAAAGACATCCATATGTAATTTATGAGAAGACAGTTACTGTCTCCAGCATCACCCACAACACGTCAGCACATCCAAAACACCCTGACATACACAAGAACCTAACCATCCGTGATTAGTGTTATTCACATATACCTGCAACTTCTTAAGATGAAAACTCTACCACCTTACTGTTCAATATATAATGTACTTACTGTTTTCTAACTCATAATGTACCATTCATTCATCTATTTAATATTTTTAGTACTATGTGAAATTTGGTTTTAAATAATCATAAATTAACTGTAATATTCTGCAAGTACCTAAAAGTCATATTATTTGTGAATCCAAAGAACAAACACTATCAACCCTATCCACCCCCCAGGAACACACAAGTTTTAATCATGCCAGCTCCGAGTGCTTGTCATCCTACGTTAAAGATCCTCATTTTGTCTTCACTTCTGGAACTTACTCCCACCTACTTTATCAATAAACTTATTTAGAAAGGAACCAATACATAATTTGTAATGCTGATGGTGTTATTGATAAATCAACAGAATTTTATCAAATCAAAATAAAAATTTAAGACTTTACCTTGTGCTAGAAACTGTGCTATATATTCACCTTATAATACTACTACTAAGAAGTACTGTTTTTTTAGTGCTTGTTTTAGATATGAAAAAATAAATCTGCCCACCACTCTTCACTCTCCTCTATTGTGTCTTCAATAGTCTGTAGTTAAAATTTTGTAATTCAACTCCATGTATCAATTGCGTTTTTCACATTTAACTAAGGCTTACCAACATTACAGTCTTACTAATTATAAAAACAGTCAAAGATGTACCCAACCTAAGAGACTATTCAAAATTTTGGTCTATTAAATTTTACTTAATTAACAAATATAGTCTAAACTGAAACTTATACCATTTACCCCTCCCCCAAAATAGTATTTTAATATGCTTAATATTAAAAAAACATTTAAATTGGACCGTGTTTAATAATCATGAAAGTGAAATTATAGTTTTACAGCAACACACTTACCTATTCTGCACCTGAGTAGCTGCAAAATGAACATAATTCTTCTTCTCAAGAAGTTTAGCCAGTAGGTTCTCAATTGCACCTTTCTGGTTTTGAAAAGCTTCTTCTAAAAACTGGTACCTTAAAACCAAAACAAAAATGACATTTAAAACAGGAAATTTATGATGAACATTTTGGAACTGAAGCATAGCTGCATGGACAAACCCGGAAACCTTACTTAAATGGATCAACATGCTATGCTGGCCATGCGTACCTGTGTCATATCAGCTTTTAACTACCAGTCCCTCCCCATCAGACCCAATGCTGAAAAGCCACTGTAAGATTAAAAAATTACTCAAAAACTGTTCAAGTGTGGGCTCTTTACATTAGAATTTTGATTCAGGACTAAATTTTTTTAATCCTAATACTGGCATATGTTGTATACATTTTATACCATAAGATATAACCACATCATAGAAAATACTTTCAAAAGAAAACCACCCATATTTCCAACATCATAAAGTTGCTACCACTCTAATATATAATTCCTCAGTCTCTTACTATGCATCTTTAGATTCAACTGTAATCATAATATACATGTAATTTTGCATCTGACTTTTAGTCTTTATTTGGTCTTTATAATTACCACTTAAAACATTTTTTCAGTTCTAGATGCTTTATGTTGTCAAATTTTTCCAAAAAGAGTTTATCAATGAAAAAAATCACTGACATCAGTTTTATTGTAACTATCAACATGAGTGATGTATATTAAAAATTTTCTAGTATTACAACAGTGAAAATTAAGACTTGATAGTAAGACTACAGTTCATTGGTTACTAGAAAGGCAGAATAATTTTCTTTGCTAGTTTCATTTCCTTCGTGTAAATTGTTCATTCAGTCAATAAATATTCTGGGGCTTCTTCTACATGCTAGAAGCACATGGACTTAAAAAAAATCTATCACTGTTCATATGCTCATAATAAATCATCACAAATATAAAACAATAGCTAGCACAATGATAAGGGCTATGATGGAGGTATACAAGGTCTGCCCAGAAAAAGTCCAGACGTTGTTAATACAAGAACGGTTTGCATGACATTGATATAACCTGGCAGCCAAGGAGAGTGGACTGGAATGTACATTGTGGACAATAATGACTTCACTGTACTACTACTCAGGTGGCGGGTGGAAGCCGCTGTTGAGTGAGCATGTGCACTGTGTGGCCATCACATTCAAAATGACTGAGCAAGTAGAACAACAACTCTGCATTGAATTTTGTGTTAAGCTTGAACATTCCTCCATGAATACTACTGGAATGATTCAGAAGGCCACAGCTATGGGCAACTGGGCACTGGCAGATTCATCACAACAACACGCCTGCTCTTGCATCACATCTGCAGTATTTTTGGTGAAACATCAAATCACCCAGGTGACTCAGCCCACCCTACTTTTCCCAAAGCTAAAATCACCTTTGCAAAGAAAGAGATTTCAGACCATTGATGAGATTCGGGAAAATATGATGGGCAGCTGATGGCGACTGGGAGAACTGGGTGAGGTCCTAATGTGCCTACTTTGAAGGGGGCCGAGGCATTAATTGCCCTGTGTCTCTATTTTTCATATTACATGGGTAGATACTTTCTGTACAGACCTCCTATCTAGTTTGCAACAGCAGACTACCTTATTCTGTCTCACTACCAAGGAGAGCTTCACATGGAAGTCACAACAAAGGCACATAGGAACTACAAATAATTCCATTTAGCCAAAGAAAACCATGCAAAGGTCAGAATATGAGACAATGACTAATAAACTTGAGAACAGACAGTGAAGGGCTGAGTATAACCAAACTAATTTTTGGATTTTCATTCTCTCGGTAATGGGAAACCCTTGGAGAATTCTAACCAAGATGTAGGAATCAGATACACATTCTAGGACAATAATCAGACAAGAATACGAAAGACAGATCCAAGGAAGAGAGAAGGGGAAGAGCAACTAGAAACCTATGATGGTAGCTCAGATGAGTAATCAAAGTATAAAACCAGTTGGTACAGTTAAACAAGTAAGCTTGAACAACATAATGTATCAGAGATCAGCACCTTGGTGATTTGGGAGTTCATATGGCTTGAGTTAAAGTAAGATCCACAGTATAACCTAAAAATTGAATGCCTAGCTAAGGCAGAGTCAAAGCAGGGAGGGGTGTCACTGGAACTAAGGTATTCAAGCCCCTGCCAAAGCTGTACCTGTCTATATGGGTACCGAAATCACTACAGGCAGGAACTGAGATGAAGAGGAAGACTAGAAGCATCTAGGTACTTGGATCTTCAGTGAAAGTCTCAGTGAAGGTAAATACAGGAGGAAAGGTGATATAGTTGTAAACATTAAAGAAAGTTTGCTTATGGTGGGTTTCAAGAGATAAAGGAAAAATAAAAAGCAGTGTAAGAACGAAGTATAAAGCAATATGGGAATCATCAGTGTTACAGAGAACGTCTGGCAATGAGGTTTCTATTTTGTGCAGTAAGAATTTTTTATTGTAGCAAAATAGACATTAAAAATTTACCATTTTACAATTTTAAGGCAAATATTTTAAAGCAAAAAATACTGCTGTCTATATTGTAAAGTCTAGCACACTATAATTTACATTAGATATTAAACAGCACAAAAACATGTGGGCACCTTAATTTAAAGGGCTTTTAAAAAAGAGGCCCTACTGTTACCAAGGTGACGCAAAGACAGCTCCTTCATTGAAGAGCGGCATTTATTTACCATAATTTCTCCACGTCCAAAATAGAATTTTTTTGTTAAATTTGTAAAAATAAAGGAGGAATATGGGATTAACTTGGTAATCCTTTTGACTTAATAAGTTTTATATTGTGAGGAAGAAAGATCTTTTGATGCAGAGTTTGATTATGTCAGGACAAAAAAGAAAAGCACTGGGTAGAAAGGTCCCAGAATCATAATTCACAAATATATTAATTAAGAAATTTAATCTTGTGCAAATTCATTTCTCTTTTCCCCTCAAAATAAACATTTTAGAATTTCCTTTCCAAAAATATCTTTGTTGCATTCACATAAACAAGTGGCAAGGAAACACACTAGGAATTCACGTAGGTGAAAGCGCGCATCATCTCCTTCCCTTACCTAAGAGTTTACAACGGAGCTGAATGTTAAAAATGAGTAAGAGCTTTCTAGGTAAACACACTTGGGAGAAAGATGCTTTCTTTCTTTCTTCTTTAAAGATTTTTCATTATTTTTAGACAGAGGAGAAGGGTCAGAGAAGAGAGGGAGAGAAACATCCATGAGTGGTTGCTTTTCAAGTCCTCCCTATCTGGGACCTGGGACCTGATCCACAACCCAGGCATGTGCCCTGACTGGGAATCAAACCAGGACCCTCTGGTTTGCAGGCCTGCACGCAATCCACTGAGCCACACCAGCCAGAGCAGAAAGGTGCTTTCATTGAGGGAAAAAATATGAATGGACAAAAAAATACTAATTCTGAAGCCATTTGTTATTTTTAAAGGTCTTGGAAAAGAAGGCAAAACTCTGAAAGTAGGTAAGTAAAGAGCCATTTGCTGAAGTTGGACTCAGATAATAAGTAATAGTGAACCATCAAGATATTAACTGCAAAGTGATCAGATATGTCACTGTTCACTTGAATAAATTTCAATTGTATTATTAGAAGAAAAATACTAGCTGGAGCTTGCAAAACAAAGGAACAATAGGAAGGCAGTTTTGTCTACATCCTACTTCTGATTTTCTTAGCTAATAGAATAGACTAACACTGCATCTTCTTTTCTAACTAATCAAAATTATAACTGAAATACTTCAGAAATGGGGAGAACAAATAACCAATAAACAGATTAAATGTAAATCTGATTAATATGTAAATACATGAAAGCAGTTTCTTAAATTTTAATCTTGCATATCAAGCAGTGATTCTTTTTTTTTTAAGATTTTATTTATTTATCTTTAGAGGGGAAGGGAAGGAGAGAGGGAGAGAAATATCAATGTGTGGTTGCCTTTATTGTGTCCCCCGCTGGGAACTGGCCTGCAACCCAGGCATGCATGTGCCCTGACTGGGAATCAAACCGTGATCCTCTGGTTCCCAGGCCCACACTCAATCCACTGAGCCACACTAGCCAGGGCTGAAGCAGTGATTCATAGGCTTCTTAATCACAATGAGCTATTTTTAATATTTCAAAACAGCTAGGTAAAAGTTATATAGGCCTATGATTTAGTCAGGACAGGCTAAGTAAGACTTTCTGTGCTTCTGGCTAAAATTATAGAAATTCAGTATAATAAATATACCACTGGTTATTCTGGTTTTGAATAGAATTCATCACTGTGCTTATATGCTTTTTTCCTATTAAGAAATATATTAGGACTTCCGCCAACATGGAGGCGTAGGTGGAAACAACTTGCGTCCGCACACAACCAAATCTAAAAACAAAAAAGTTTTAACAATAATAAATGCAACCAAACAACACAGAAAATCGACAATACGGAGTCCGAAAACAACGAAATGCTCAGCTAAACCGGTAAGAGGGGCGAAGCCAACAGCGGAGCGGGTTGGCCAAAAAGATCCTGGACTGGGTGGTGCACAAGCAGCCTAAGGCGCGGATCCCAGGTGCGGGCTAGCTACAGGCGGACACAGGGAAGAGGTGCGGCTGGCTGTCTGTGCTCAGTCGAGCATTTGCGTGCAGATAAACCAGTGAAGAGGCGAGCATTCAGACCGCATGGCACAGGGCAGCAGGCTCGTACAATTCTGCTCGGATACACAGGCAGGGGCCAGTGGTGGGAGGGACTGGGCGAGCGGAGAAGACCACCATTGCTCCCTCTCTGACCCTGCCCTCACATACAGCGTCACAAACCAGCGAACTGGGTGCCCCGGCCCTGGTAAACAATTAAGGCTCCGCTCCTCATACGTAACAGGCACAAAGAAATAAAAACATGGCTCAAGAAGAACTCAGAGCCCCAGAGCCAATAAATCTAAGTGATGAAGAAATAGCCAAACTTTCAGATGCACAGTTCAAAACACTGGTGATCAGGATCCTCACAGAACTGGTTGATTTTAGTCACAAATTAGAGGAATATATGAAGGCTAAACTAATTGAAATGAATGGTAATGCACAGGAAACCAATAGTAA